TGAAGAAGTGTGATTACTTAAGAGTCTGTGTAAGGTGTCATGTGGAGAAGGAGTGATTATACAAGATGTGAATTTAAATTTAACTGCAGTAATTACTTTCCTAGAAATAGGGAAATTAACGTGAAATGTTTGGACAATGAGTGTTCTCATGTTGGCTAATGAAAACACTTCTTAATGGAATCCAGTTATCTTAAAATATAAAAGGGAAAGGTGTGAGGTCAAAACTCAGTGTTTTGATTATTCAGTCTAGCAAAAGAGACAGAATGTTTTTTGACTTTAGTGTTCAGAATTTACTTTTTGTAGGTCAGATCCAGAATAATTTTTCATTTGTGTTGTGAACATGATAGTAACAGATAGTGAAATGTCAAATGCAACTCCCAAATCCTTTTCAGATTTGATGCTGTGTAAAACTTAGTCACAGGATCAAGACTTCTGCAGTATAAAAATGAAACCCCCTTCCTCTTAAGGGCAGACTTGACTTCTGTTTTTCTTCCCATGAACAGTTGAACTAATAGAGGATGACAGAGTACAGATACTGCAGTCACTCACATCTGCAGAAGCAGAGGTAAGTCACAATTTGGTAACTAATTACTGTGAAATGGGAGGATTCTTTGTTTAAACCAATTAAAAGACTGACTGTTCAATGACTTTTCTTCCCTTTTTCTTGCAGGGTCATCTGTTTAAACAGATTGTGTTAACCATCTATGTCTGTGGAAATATAGTATTCCTGGTTGCCTTCCTGATAGCAATCAACCAAGTATGAATAAGTATTTGAGAATTTCATGACAAAATATTGTACAGTTGAAAAATCTGCAAGGAATACTTTTTATTACAACTTTTTTCTCAATGTGTTCCTGAAGATGTAATTGAAGAATAACAGTAATAAGAACACATGTCATGCTCAGTGTTTAGGGAGATCTGGAATTCAAATCTAGGGAGGAATTGTCCTACAGTCAACTGCAGTCCTACAAAAGCTGTCTTCAGATGGGACTTTTAATGGGAACCTTTGCCTGAATAAGGAGTGAAAACTGTTTTTGAAGCACATTAGTTAACTTGATTGAAGCTTATAGGTGAAAAGAAGACTGAGAAGATGTGCTGCAAGTGTTATTTGGATAGTCAGTTCCCTAAACCTTTGGTGAATATTACTGGGGGAACCAGGAGGATATGGCTGATCCAGATTAATCTGTCCACTTTACTGTGTTCTGATGTGTGACATGCCAACTTCCTGTTCCTGACAGTTTTGTGCATAAAGAAACCCCCAACCACACAAACTATGAAACTTAGTGAAAGATTGTCACAAATGCAGGTTGATGCATGAGCTAAATAGATAAAAGTAAAATGCAAAAAGCACTGTCTGCTCTAAGAGCAGTGTACTTACACCACAAGTGCAGGAGTTGAGGAACTTCAGTCCTTTAGTAAAATCACTATTTGCCTCACTCAAAATGCTGCTCTGTCTCATCCCTCTTGGTGCTTCTAAATTATAAAGAGAAAACATGTTTGCAATATAAATGCATTAAAATCTATTGTAACTTATCCAAAACCTAAACCAGGAAGAACCTAGCTGTGTTTTTGGATTTGTTTTACTGTCTTTGGTTGCTTGTGGCTTCTGAATTACTTGACCGTGTGAATAAGATGGATTTATGCCAACTGATGCTTTAATGGAAGTGAAAATACTTGCTCTGGCATTTGTGCAATTGAGCAGAACGTTAATTGGGAGCTAGGCTGACTTCAGGAAAAGCAGCTTCTGTTAGTGTTTAGCCAGAGTCCTTTGAGCTGGCATTTCTAGAAGATAGAACTTTAAGAATTCTATAACAATTCTATTCTGAAAGAGTTTTGGAGACCATTTTTTTGGTTAACAAAAGATTTCTCCAAATACATGAACTAGGTACAGAGACTAGAAAGAGACTACATCATTTCACATTTTTTGTTCATGGTTTGCCCAAGTATGGAAGGATACTCTTGAAATGGCATTTTTGAAATTAAACCTTAATATGCTGTGCAGTTACAATGCTTTGCAGTTGTGTTTTGTGGCTCTGAACAGCTTGTTCCCACACATTTCATTTTTTTTTACTGAAAAGTATTGATTTTTAGTTGTAACAATTCAAGATATATTTTTCATCTAGGCCTAAGCTGGCTGGGAAGGAAGGTGTTGGGAGTATTGCATAGAATAGTGAGTAGTGAGGTGTGACTTGGTATCACCTTTTACAGCAACATCTCTACAGGTGTGACCAGCTCTAAAATCCCTGTAGGTGTGGGTCAGGTGGTTCTCTGCAGTTACCAAAGCTGTCTGCTTGTGTCTCTTCCTCTGCCATCCCAAGTGCAGAGCACAGCCTGCATGGACAGGTAATATTCAGGGAGCTACACGTTTGTTTGTAGTCAGTGATCTTTTTGGCTACTCAGAGATCTGATTTAGCCATAAGGGTGTCTATGGAGCTGGGATTAATCCCTTTGTCAGCAGCAGCTGACTGTGAGTGAGCCCGAGTTTAATCATCTCCCTTAGAAGAGTCATGTGCAGATTGGGAAAGGGGGAGCACAAAGAAATGAATCACAACCCAGGCTGAAGGACAAGAAGCATGAGGCCAATTGTGTGGGTGTGAGGTTCTTTCAGAGAACTCTGATCTTAAAATTCTGGGAATCTCAGGCTCATCTACTGCTAAAGTTTTGTGGGTCTCTATTGTCTACTGTGAGTTTATAGAAGAAAAATCACTCAACCTAGGCATGATTGATGGCTTTTTAAATTAAGGGTAATGGCAGATTCTTTCTGTAATATAATGGCTGTACGGAGGGTTGTTTCATTTACATGTGACAATGAACATGGGTTTTAAAACATGAATGTAAATATCTCAATAAAAGTTCTTGTCCTTTTTAGTAATGTGAAAATGCTGTCAAAAGAAAACTAGAAAAGTCTTGCCTAGGAGCAAAATGGATTGTCTGGTTTTTGTAGATGTTGTTTTATAAATTAAAGCTATGTAAATCCTTCCTGGAGAAACTATAATTGAAATTGAATGTTAAAATAGTTTTTAAAGCAGTTTCTTTTCCTCAAGAAGGAAAATTTCCTTGTTCCACATCTAATACAACTTTAAAACTGGAAAAATTGTCAGTTGCTCTGGCTAACTTCTTTTTTTCCACTGCTTGCAATATTGTCTAGTTTCTTATGAGAGCCCTTATGTGCAGTATTGTAATTCAATGGATTGAAATTATTGCTGATGTCACATAATTTCTGTTCACACCACCACTCCTGCCCTTTTCCTGCATAACTAGTAAGAAGAAGTAATGTGCCATTGTATTGCAGTATCTTCCAAAGTTTGTTGTGTACTCCTATGAAAAAAAATCTGTGGAAGGGTTTGATATTGGCAGGAAAATAGATGACAGGTAGAAATTTGTGATTAGTCTCACAAGTAGTTTGTTTTGATTGTAAGGTGTAGCCTCCACATACTGGTCATCTACTTTTGACTTAGCCACAAGTCATGTTCTTTGCCTGTGCTTTGAACAAAAATTACTTGATGCAAATGTAAATGGAGTTCACAGCTACTTTGTTTTACTTTTAGTAACTTTTAGCTAGTTGACAGTTCAGGCTGCAGCACGAACCAGGGGAAGGTGTATTTCATTTGTCTTTCTTACACTGAGCACTACATTGTTTTCTGTTTTGTCAAAAATCACAGGATGGGGAGACCTCCAGTTCCGTGTGATAATGGCCATGTTTTCCTTTACCCAGTGAAGGTTGAGGAGAGTTTTGCCTGCTTTGTGTTCCATCAGTGTGGAACACTACGTGGCGCCCTTGTTCAAGTAACAGCACTTCTGTTTTCCTTCATTTCTGTAAACTGCCAGTGAGAGGTTGGCATGTAAAGGTTTTCCGAAATAGGAAGTGTTCCTAAATGAACTAACTGGAAAAATTCTCAAGGTTTATTAAGAAACTCAATCTTTAAATTCAAGCTAACTCATACAGATAGACATTCTGGAATCGGTGGTTGCTTGATATCTATGCTTAAGCTTTTGTTTGAGCAGGTATGGATGGTTTTGTCTTGTGGGTATATTCTTTTCCAGACAACTGAAGATAAACAACAATCACTAAGGAAAAACAGCAGTATTCTGCATTTCTATGCAGAAGTTAATACCTCTGTTGTTTTAGACCTCTGGTGCAGGCTGAAGTAAGAAGTGTCCAAGGCAATGGAAGGATGGTTAAAATGGATGACCTAGTAGGTCTAAGAAATTCTTTGCTCACATAAATCTGATTCCGACTTCTCTAAGAGGTTTGTGTGAAGTGGGAAACTGTTGCACATACCTGAGTAAGTGGCACAGCACAAATTCTTCAGAACATGCTTGGAACCAGCTGTTTTTAGTTCATATCTGACCTAGTTCAGCCACTGTCTAGCTTCTGCTGCTCTTCCTTGTGCTGTGCAAAAGTGACTTTCCATAATGTAAACCCACACAACTGCATCACTCTGAACCAGTTATTTATGATAGTCATCCCACAGCAAAGATACTGCACTTAAGAAGGGCTGCAGCTTCAGCTTTACTTCAGAGAGACTTGTTTCTCTTGTGAGGAGACTGTTGTGGGACCTTAGGAATCACTTGGCTTTAATGATGAATTAGAGCTTTGCATGGCATCTCTACTGACACTTGAAATGATGATTTGCCACCTTGTATTTCTGTTTTTGATACAGGAAAGCTCTTGGGCTGTAGCACTCATTCCTACTTTCCAGAAGCACAAAACTTTCCAGTCTTTCCTTTAAACTACTTTGACTAGTATTGTGATGGTAGTTGCTCCCTTTTCCATATTCAAGTTTAATAGTACAGGCTGCTGGGGGAGCAGAGGATGAATGTCCTTAGCCATCTGCTGCTGTTTGTGATACTTCATATCACTCACCTATTCTCATCTTTTGGTGTATCCTTAAGAGTTGAGGCTGAAGCCACCTGCTCTCACAACCAGCAAATAACAAAAGAAGCATAAGGAAGAAACCCACTATAAAACAACAACAACAAACAAGAGGCTAGACATATAGGAAGTGTACTATAATAAAATTTATTCATTCTTATGTACTATTCCACTCTCCAGGTAACCATTTCTGTTAAGTCTTAAAATTTGAGATTATTACCACATCAGACTGGGAGCCACCAAGTGTTTAGAGGCTACAAATCAGTCAATTACTACCATCGTGCCTCAGTATGAGGTAGTAACTTCAGTTTTCTGCTTTGAAAAGAATACCAGCAAAAAATTATAGCTTTTTTTTTTTTTTTTTGCTGGTGCATAATTTAAGTCAGCTATACCAGAATAACACAACCTGAACTTTCTGTTTAGTGTTACAAATGAGGCTAAGACCTAGTGAATTAAAGCTGTTGTACAGATTTGAGTATAATGGTGTAGTGTGCTATGAGGCACTTTTTCTCTCCAAGAACTATGTACTGGAAAATCTGACTGGATGTGATTTTTCTAGGTGTGGTTGAACCTACTTTTACCTCCTTTTATACCACCCTTATGACATGGAAAGAATTAACCTGTTTTTTGGTGGGATCCTTGAAACTTGCTGGAGAACTGTGCCCAGCAGTGGCTGCACAGATCTGTAACAGATCTTGGTTTTCAGCTGCAGGACAAGCTACTGGCAACTCAGTATTTCTAGTGGGAGGCTTGCTGACTTCAGCTCCTCAGCCAGCTGAAACCTAAACACTGTGGTTGTTGGGGTATTTTTCTGTGGTTGGGGGTTTTTGTTTGTTTTTTTAATCGACAAGCACTGCCTCTCTGGCAACCAGTTTCTTGGAGAAGTAGAGCGTTCTCAGCAATCTGGGAGGTGAACCCATGCTCAGGAGGTCGGACTGTTTGTATTATGATGCACAGGATTGAGCAGTGAGGTTGTGGGTGGGCAGCATGTTTGTGGGATGGTGAAGAGAACAGGGTGTGAGGATGGCTACACTGAGATATGTAACATAGAGGGATGGAGTGTGGAGCTCTAGAAGGTGGCTAAATATTTAAATATGCTGGCTTAATTATATTTGGTTTGCTCTGCTGTCACTTAAAAAGGAATGCTTTACATTTCATCCAAGGTAGTGTAATTGGAAAGGACTTGTTATATTTACATTTCCTCCTGCTCCTCTCTCATATTTCACTTTTTATTAATCAGTGCTTTTACAGAAAGAATGCTGGAACAGCAAAATCAGATAGATTGGCACACTTTAATGTGAAACAATGTCCCATGAAGTTCCATGGAGATAGGTGTTTATCTGCTCTGTGTATATAGCAACAGCATATTTCTGATTGTGAGAACAGGTATGCACGTCTTCATACTTGTTATACACATTGCATTTATAGCCTTAGGTAACTTCCCACTACTTTTAACAAAATCCAGGATGTGATTTGTGTGTATGTGGCAGTTGGTCAAATCTGAAAGTCTGTTAAAGTCCATTGCATTATGCAGAGGGCAAAATAGCCCATGAAACAGAGTAGTGAAACAAGTATTATGATCCAGAAAAAAGTATGTGGAAGAAAGTCTTCTTAGCTTTATCTGCTTTGAGTGATAAATTATACTTCCATGTCATTACAGCTGTTAAAGCACCTTTTTCCCCAGCTTTGCCATTCTCATCCTCAGAGCTGCAAAAATAAAACAAAGCCATTGCATTTTAAGTTTTTCTTTCTGTTTCTGAAGCAAAATCTCCTTATTTAGAAAAATGAAGAATACACATACCTCCAGTGGTTAATCCAGCAGAATAAGCATTGTTTTAGTGTTACAGAAAGAAATCAGTAGAAGGTGTTAGTTCAGGTAATTTTGCAATAAAGTGAGTATATTAAGAAATTACTCCATAACTGCTATTTAAAAATTAGCGCAGCTCTATTCTGTTTTGGCTCTGTTACCTTCACTAGCACAGTACACAGAGTTGGTTTTGCCCTTGACTGGATGCTGACAGATTAAAAGGACGCATGAATAATTAAACAAACTCTTTGTTTAAACTAAACTCCTCAGTGGGAGCTGTAACTGGAAACCTCCTCCTTTTCTGTGATGCTCACAGAAAACTTTCCTGTCTTCCTGGTGCTGTGAGTCAGGGTGGGAGTTAGTCATGTTCCTGATTTCATGGGCTGCAGTAACAGTACCTGTATAAACACTAGTACAGCTATTGTCTGTAACTGGGTATAATGTGGGTAAGTTGGAAAGGGACAGTGCAAGGCCAATGATTTCATGTTAAGGTTATTTTTAGAACAGCAATATAATGCTGTTGTTTGATATGTAAAAGCTTCTCCCCAGCACATTGTTGATCTGAGAATGCAATGGGAATAATCTCCATTACTCTGACCTGTTAGTTTGAAGAGTCCCCAAAAATAGCACGTCTCATTCCTACACCCTGAATATGTCTCTGTGCTGAGACACGAGGGGTCAAAGCAGCTGTTTACTTGATTTACACGTGTCAGCAAGTGTCCAAATCAAGTTATGTTTTGAATGCTGAAGTTGATGCAAATCATAGAAGCATCTGAGTGTAACTTTATATCATAGAGCCACTGATGTTAACCTTAGCTCTTACAAAGACACTGTGTACTTTTTACAGGCTGAGAAATTCTGAAGGATTCAAGCCCTGGTCGTGGTTTGAGAACAGTCAGTTTGATGCCTCACTTAGAGCTCATAGTTTGTTTTTGTCATGCTCTATACATTACAGAAACAGATGGTGTGCATGAATCTTCATTAAAAATGATTTTTATATTTTATCTTCTTCAACACAAATGGTGCTGTCTCTATTGTGTTTTTTGAAGGTTGCAAAGCTTCCAGTGGTAGGAAAAAAAATAGCTCATCTAGACTAGCTAGCTGCCAAAAGCCTTGGACCTTCATATCCCATGAGAGCCTGTTCCACACTGTCAGTAGATTTTGCTGCTTATTCAGCTTTAGTTTTGCATTTCCTTATTCATTTCACTATGCCTAGCCTTTGTTCCCTCCTAAGGACTTTTCATTTCCCTAATGAGTATTGTGTCTTCAAAACATTTGCACTTGAATGAATTTGCCTGAAATTTAAAGAAGAAAATAACCTCTAATAATGCAAATATGGGTGTACCAATTATAGTGTTGTCATCCTTTTCTCTGTTTGGTTTTTCCCAGGGCACATACTTTGAGATATCTGGTGGGGGAAAAGAGCTTGTAGGGGAAGGAAAATTGCTGCTATATGGAAAGAAGTATGCCCGACATCTTTGTAAGATTGTGGGCATGAAAAGCTCCTAATTTAATCTCATGTGTCTCTATATAGATTGGCACATGGAATAATGTGTCTGTTGCCTTGTCCTTGGCCATTGCTAACTAATTTAGTAACTTGTTCTGAAGGTTCATTTCTTTCCTAAAGAAAAATTGCCACATGAGAGGCCATCATGCTGGCCTTGGCTTCTTTGCTTTCCATTGCCTTTCAGAGTCCTCAGTGCTTAATGTTTAAATGCTGCAAGTGCTTCCCAAAGCTTTAGTTTCTGAGAGGATTCGTTTTTCTGTCATACTGTTTGGTGTTTTAGTAATGAATGATGAGCTACCAAAAGTAATTGACTCCACTCTTTTCTCTAGTGGCCTTTAGGGTGAACCTGCTAGGGTGGGCATCAATGGCTGCTTTGAAAACAATATATTTCTCTAAGAAACAGCTCTGTATAATACATTGTTCTAGATCGAGAAGCTTTCCTGGTTTTGTTTCCCTTTTAGAAGTCTCCATAGGATTATAGGGCTGCTTGGAAAGACTGAGTCACTTCCTGGCTTTTTGAACTGATCAAAAATGTCCCAGGGAGTGGCAATAAATAAACGGAGGGCTAAAGAAGAATATGGCTTAGTTCCAAATTCTACGAGGCATGAAGATACTCACTTGGAGGCAGTGCTAAGTGAGGGAATTTTTGAGGTAATTGCCAAACTGCTTGTAATTTAGTTGGGATCCATTTTTCCCAGCTGGGCATTTTCTTACTGGTGGAATAGTTATAAAGTAAATGGCTGAAATCAAATGCAGATTTACAGGACAGATTCTCAAATACCTTTGCTATATTTGTGCTTAGTCTCCTTTCCTAAAAGTCAATATTTGTTTTCCGCTAACCTCAAATGGGAGAGAACTCAGATTGTTTGGGAAGTGCCCGAGTGGAAGGGAAAAATGTAGAAATTTCAGTTGCTTCTCCTGAGGGACAGAAATAAGAGAGGGCTGGTACAGATGGAGATGCTCAGCTAACATCTCATGGCCTGTATATGGCCCACCTGAATGGCACTGCCAGCTTGCAGTTACTACTTGGACAACTCTTCCCCAGCACATGTTCAGGAGCACCCCCTCAGCAGGCTGTAGGATGGATGACCTGTTTCAGCAGAAACCTGCTGATGGCTGGGTGAGTGTCCCTTCTCCATTATCCTATACTTATGTGATGGGGGAATTAATCCCCAAAATATAATGGGCTGGAGCAGCTTCTGGAGTGATTTATCTTGCCTGTACTATCTGCCTCCAGTTGCTGGCATAAGAGCTGCTGGCAGCAGCCCTTGGTGCTGGAGAACACAGGGAAGTACACAGATGGCAGGATGGGTGCTTGAGGAAAGCAAAGGTCCTCTCAAGTAATGGGAAAGTGTAGTGGCTTTATTGATCAGAAAGGATGGGCAGCACTGCTGGAATATTTCTGGCTGTTGTGTGCTTGACTCCATGATGTTGATACTCTTAAAAGCTGAGAGCCTTTCTTGCTGAAAAGTTCTTCCCAATCACTGCCGACTGATGCAGAAATACTTGAAAGTTCTTACATGATCCAGAGATCATCCTCTCTCCTGGCTTTACATGTAGTGTAAAGAATTCCTGGGCTATCAATACAGCTTTAGGCAGGGTCTAAACTTTATATTTTTGCTGCAAATTGTCTGGAGAGAGACAATGTGGCATAAGGACTCTAATCTTCCTGTAATTCAATGAGAGTGTTCTTTCCTTCAAGTGGAATTTGACTAGTGTCTGAAATCTGCTGCTGTGTAAGTATACTTAAATGGAGTTTAATTGTATGCATTAAAGTGCAACATAATCATAAAGAAGAGTTTTCTATATTTCTGTAAGATTTTTCTATTGCTTTCGAACCTTTATTATAAAACTTTATAGTAAGAAATAGATACTGTATGTATTAATAGAATATAAAAAGTATTCAAAAATAACTCTGTGGACTATTGGACTAACAGTGTGTAGTGATGAAAACTGTTTCATTATCTTTCAGAAGCTATAAAAATGTCTAACTCAGGTTAATGAAAAAATGTTAAACCTTGCATAATCACTATTAAGACAATATTGGCAATGTTGATTTCTCAAAAATACAAAGTAAAGCTGATTATTAAGCAGTCTTTCTTATTTAGGGAGTAACCTGGATGACCTAGGAAGTAGTTGGAATGCAGACAGGCAGAAAAACATGCCAATGAAGGAGGAGGAATTGTTAAGTAGCAATGCTGTTAGTTACCTGCAAGAAATGAAAACTAATTCTGGTAATTTTTGTATCATTAATGGAACTTGGAAGAGAGTAATTTTTTATCTTTGAAGGTTACAGGAATGGCATTTCTGCAATAATTTATTTTCCAAATTTTGATACGGTAACTAGTGCATTGCTAAAGACAAAATAATTCAATAGATCCAAAATGTAGATTGGTATTTGTTAACAAACAAGAGCAAAAAATTATTAATAGCATATTAGTCTGAAACAATCCAAACAATATAAAAAGTGACACAGTTGCCAGCAGATAAGAGCAATATTAATTTGCTACATGAGCAAACAGCAGTGACACGATTTTCCTTTCCTGTTACCTGTTAGCGAGGGGTCTTCTGTACCATCCCCAGACACCTGGCTGTGAAGATGAGCATGGTGTGTTGGTGAGCTTAAGCGTTCCTCTTGTTCTTGCAGGGAGATGGAATTTTTGTGGGGTACCTTGTTCAGGCTTGCACCCAGACTGCTCACAGGGTTTGTCTGTTGGGTTTCTGTGGTTTTCCTGTTTGGTGGCTGATAAACTTGACTGTAATGGCCTATGGGATGATATGCTGGTTTCTCAGCTTTGCTGTCATCTTCATCATCGTCATCAATGATAACTAGTTCTGCACGGATAACCCCATCATACTGGGACAGCTTCTGGTTTGCTTCTGCATCGTCATCGTCAATGCGCTGATAACCCATGAACACCATTGTGACAGGTTCAGACTCATCCACGTAACAAGGTACAGCCTGCACTATGTTGTACTGAGCATCTTCCTCGTCTTGAGGTGCAGGGGATGCTTCATTAGGATCACAGGGATTTAAAAACCTTGTCTCACTGTGTCTTTCCCTGGTATTCTGGTAAGGTTTTAATTCCTCATATGCAGCACTTCTTTCTTCATTATGAATCATCCTGTTTTCAGGATTAGTGTGTATTTTCTTCTCTGTACGAGAAATTACTGGAGAAGGAGACTTTGGTTGTATTACCTTCGGAAGATCAAGGCCATTCTCTTTATTTTGCTGAATAAAGGGCTCTGTTTTGGAGGAGAGCCCTGTCTGATGATTGCTAAATCCATTCATCTCTCTTCTGTTAGTGCCTTCCAGTTTTGGTCCAGGTTCTAATTTGTCTTTCTGAGGAGTAACTGGCCTGCAGAATTTGTTTGCAAAGACAGGTTCATGGTACTCTGTGGGAGACTGAGAATTTTTTTCAGTTGCCTGCCGTAGCAGGTCTTCCACTTCAACAGGAGCAAGTTCATCCATCCCATTTTGTGTTGTGCTCCCATTTGAGGACACTGCATAGACTGACTTTCTGCCATCATCATAGACTTTAATTCCTGTCTCTTTAAACTCCTTTGAGGGAAGAGGTATTGTTGATAACACCGTGTTTTCACCTGTCTTCATGTCTTTTTCAACCTTAATTTCCATGGCAAACAATGCTGTTGAAAGAAATAAGTGCTTAAACTGGTAATGCAGTAGTTGCAAGAAATATAGGGATTCTGACAATGACAGAGAACAACTGTCAGAATGAATTATTAAATATGTGAAATTATCACATACACAACCAATATACTAAATTCTCATTTCGAATATCCCCTTTTATCCTGTGGAAAAAATATTTTCATTCTGTGAGGAAAAATCAGCTGTTAAGGAGACAGTTTTCAGTACATGATACACTGAGAAATCCAGATTTAACCTTGGCCTCTGGTGTTATGCTGGGCAATAGCAGCTGGAAGAGCTCAATGTGCTGTGATGCTAGAGAGCCTTGGGCACTCTGAAGAGTTGGGAGGCTTTGTAGCAGTTGGGAAATAACCAGACTGCTGCTGGCTACCCAACAGGTGTAAGTGCAGCCAGAAAATGTGAAATGAATGATATGAAGGGAGTCTGTAGTTAGTTATGACAGGCAGAGGAATGAAGTGCTGGAAAGGAGTGTCAGTGGTGAAGAGAGTTGTTCTCAGTGGCACATACTTTACACCACTGTCTCACCTCTCAGTTTTGATGACCTAACTGGTAACACAGCTTAAATGAGAACAAATGTCTCATATCTGTAATGTCTGTTCTTTGCTTAAAGTGTATTAGATTCAATAGATAGGACGCTTTTGTACATATTGACACCTCCTGGAGTTACTAATAAGCAGTACCTTTTCTCTTTTCTTCCTCATCCATATCAGCATGTGCTGTACTTCTCAGTGCAGAAGGTCTGAAATACTTGGGAAGGTCAGGGATGCTGGCATATATGTAGTCTGCTGCCTCTGAGTAAAGAAGATCCACAGATCCACAAAGCATTAATATGTTTTAACTTACTTCTACAAGAACCTTTTAAAAATGCTCTTTTGACTAAACGTACCTTTTTCAAATCCAGCTTTTTCGGTCTTCACAGACTAGGTGGGAAAGAGAACCATTAACAATGAATGTGATAGTTACTTTAAAGATGTTAACTAGACAGTGCTTTGGTTTCCCTGATAGTTTTAACCTTTTGTGTGCACAGCTTCATACAGAGAAGGGGCTAAAAGTGAAATGTGCTCAGTCGGAGCATGGTGAGTGAGAAAGTGACATTTCTGTGGTCTTTTGCCAATATGATTCCAAGTCACATAGAGAAGGACAAAAATATTATGAATTGTTAAATAGTGACCTAGCTTCCCACTGTGGCCCAACCTGGTTAGTGTCAAAGATTTTATTAAAGGTTCTACTTTGGCTTTCCAGTTTTATTTATCTCCCTGTATCTCTTCAGAGAATGTGTGTGTGTATGTAAGAACAGCTGGAGAACTGAAGTTTAGTTTCATCACTGTGTTTTTTGAGATGGTTTAAGATGATTTAAAAATATTAAAATTACCTTTTGACAAGGACTAATGGATGATGACATTAAGATGCATCATAATCTCTGTCAGGGACTTGGTGGAGAGCATGATGCAGTTTAGCTGGGCACATCACCTGAAGGAGCATGAATAGACCAGCCTCTGTACCTGGTGTGTCTGTCTCTGGCTGAGATGCCAAGTTGCTGGGTGTCAGTGGCAGGGCTGTTCTTAGAGATGTGCTGTAGATGAGTGAAGATGGGAATTGCTCCCCCACCCCCATAAATAAGCAAATGGAGACACGTGGGCACTTAAAAATGTAACATCTGGATCCCTCTCATATTTAAACTGCTGTCACTTCAGACAAAAGCTCATGACCACTCATGGGATCCAGCTAGTTCTCCTTTCCCTGGATATGATGAAGATTGAGCAATAAATTATATTTCTGCAATAATATAGCACTAACCTTTATTATGTCTTCTGCTGTTTTTTCAACAGACTTCAATTTCTTTAAAATTGCTTCTTCCTTAGCTGAGACTTCCATTTCTTGTCTTTCCAGAGCCTCAATTTCCTTTTCCAGTCTGCAATCACAGTTGCATTTGATTTAATACCAGGCAGAGGACAACATTGTAGAGTTGGTGCATTGGGAATATGGATATTAGTAGAGCTTGTTCTACTTACCTTGACAAACTTTGCTCTTATATAAGATCAACTTATAATTTCACACACAATGGGAAATAAGTGTGAAATAGTATTTTGATTTAAAAAGAAAAAACCCCAAACCCAACAACAAACAAAGCCTTCCACATGTAAACATGAACTATTTTGCCAGTTAGGACTTGGCTTATGGGTTAGCTATTTTATTTTAAAAACCTTTATTGTTATGTCAAAGGAATATTGAGGCTCAGGAGTCAAAATTTCTTTTGGGCTATTGACACTCGCTGTAGATTTGTATTTACAGCTCCCTTCCCAGCCCTTATGTGTCTTCTTGCATATTAAAGCTGAGTGCAATGATTAAGGTATCTTTTTTCCTGATAAGAGTTTTTATTTTCTTAGTGTAGGGAAAACACTTCTAGACAGAAAGGTCCAAGATAAAAAATTGAATCTGTGTCAGAGAGAGAAAGCTATTCCTGGTTGTCTGGGTATAAAGCACACCACTAAAGTAAAGAATCTTGGTCAAATTTTTCTCTAGTGAGTAAAGCAGGTGTTCTGTTTCCTAGTTTTTATTCTTTCTAGTCAAGACTACTCTTTTCTGCATAAATGCATATTTGCTGGGTTTTAGATGGAATTTGCCTTATTAGCTAAGTAGTTGGGAAGTCAATTTTCCATGAAAATTTTCCATCTAGAATCCAACTCCAGATTTATCTCTGAAGTGGGACTTAAACTGAGTGTCTTGTGCTGTAGGTTAATGCTGTATAACTTTAGTCTCCTGGTGCTTTTTAAAAGAACTTCTTGTAACTTTAAGAAGAAAAAGAAATTTTAAAAGCTTCCATATTTGAGTGAAATATGCCTTCTATTTTTTTAATCCATGCTGGAAATCAATGACTCTAAACCTAAGGCAGCTGCAAGTGATAGCACGTTATGCTGAGAGCAGTCAGAACAGTCACAGCTGGATGATCTGAGACAAAGTTACACACAGGGTTATAGAAGTGCTGGCCTATAACCCCAAGGGACAGAAGTGTTGTGTTTTTAGTATTTTGGCTTCTTTACTGTGTGCTAGGATTCACAATATTACACAAAGTCACCATGAATGATTAAAACCTGCCATCCCTTTAAAGTAATCAGACTAGAAAAGCTGAATGCAGGTTGATGATAAGCAATATTGATTTATTTCTGTGTAGCTAAGGAATCTGAATTATCATTATGGCTCTTGCCCTATTTAAAGTCAGATATGTGGACCTACACTAACAGGGTACTACATGCGCTTTTATCTGTTGGTGACAACGTCCTCTTTATTGATACACAAAGGTTTCACATGCCTCAGAACAGATACATGAAAAAAACCCCAAACCCTTCAGGATGAAAGTAAAAGCTAAAAAAAATTTAAAAGTTGCTCAAACTTTGGACCTGAGCTCTGCAAGATGACCTTAGAACCCTGATTAAAGGTACTGATTGCAGTGCTAAAATTAAAAAATTTGGGGATGAATATTTTTGGACAGCTATAAAAGAAAGTAATGACCATGTGCCATATTTTTGCACTTCACATGAAACAGTCTTGGTTTAGTATATTGAGATGTGGTTTTTTTTTTTTTAGACGAGACATGGTCGCAATATTATCGTAACTTGAAAATCATTAAAAACTCGTAGAAGCATAATGAGCTGAAAAATCATTAAGTTATACTGTGGATTTATTTCAGTCTTGGCTCTAAACACTCCTAGACACACAGGTATAAGAAGAGGAGGAAAAATCTTGGAGATACTTGAAAAAAGAGAGGTGGGAAAAGGAAAACAAAACCTCAAATAAATCAAAGATTATAAACACCACGTATTTACCTGGGTGATCAAGAAACAAATTAAAGTTTATATATGCTCTTATACCCATACCAACACCCATTTTATAGGGTAATTAAGACACCTGATTCAATACTCCGTGGGTTTAGAGAGAAATTCTCATACCCATGTAATGGGAATTGTATCTAGACCCTAAGTATCTCTTCTGCACTTGTACTTGCAAAAACAGGTTTTATGGTTCAATTTCAGAGAGTGTTGTGAGTGTGCACACTGAAATTTGTGGAAAGAAAACTTCTAAGAATGCAATTTGTACAGTTCAAAGAAATTTAAGCCCTTATAACATCATGCAGTTGACAAGTTAGGCCAGGATACTTCCGGTGTGTTCAAATGTTTAGAAACACCTAAATCAATGATATTTTTATGAAGTTATATCAGTTTGTCTTGAAAGGGTCTAGCAACTATTATAGCAATTATATATAAAGGCAAAAAACTACCTTTTGTACAGCATTGCATCTTTTTGGAGAGAAACGGAAGTATGACATGGCCACTGTATTAAATCAATCCTTTGAATATTTGTCCTCTTTTCAAGTTGCTGTGATTATTTGAGAGGGGAAAATAAGTAGTACAGAGATGTGGATGGGAGAAGAAACCTTAGAAGTCAAGGCACTAAATGAAAAGTTTCTCTGCGAAAAGGAACAGCTGATTTAAGAAAATCTATGGTGATTGCTTGCATGCTGCTGGCCACCAGCTCATCTGCTGGAGTTGGCATCACTGCCACCCCAGAATAAAAAATTACATGGCTTGAGAATGAAAAGCAGATAGTAAGATACCACCTTGAAGAATTCCAGACTGAGGGGAAAAGGCAGTTTAACAAGTCCTCACATGTTTTGAGGTGAGTCAAATGCTTTAGCAGCTTTGTAGTATAGCCTGAGTCCGCTTTCATACATTACAAGCAATTGAATAGACCTTAGTTGTTTTGCATTTTTAAATACGTTGTTTGGCAACTAATTCCGTCAAGAATGAGTGTTATTAGCTTAAAATTGAGAAAGCAGGACTCTTAATTCTTCATTCAGGTTGTACCCTGACCAAGGATGTGCTCACTTGGTTCGCTGAAATTTCTAACATGTAAAGAATGTAAAAAGGACACTTAATGTAAATGCAATTTTTTGTCTGTAGCCAAAGCATTCAGCCATTTGTCTCCAAGGTGGCTCAGACTGCTTGCTATTCACTGTTTTGTCATTGATACAAAGAATGGAACTTCACTCTTTCGTTAAAAAAAAGGCTCAAATCTGGACTGATTAGCACACATACACCAGCTCAATTTGACACCCAAGTAAAGAATGTTTCCCATTTAGGAAGGTGATGGCAAGACTCATGCCACTGCTGTAATAATCTGCCAACAATTGCAATTGTCCTCTCAGCAGAAAGAAAAAAGACTTGTCTAAGGCAATCAAGAAGTCTTTAAAGTGTTTAATATTTTTTTTTTTAACCGAAGATGAAACACACAGAGAATAATCAACAGAGTGAAGTGAATTTCTGAATCAAGGGAGTTTTAATAGTCAGATGCTTAGAAGAAATAATTCTACTGAGCCTCTCACTTTGTTTTTTCTACTGTATGATGTCTCTACATGATCAGTTTAGCCATGTTTGATTTACAGGGTGGGTCAAAGGTCAGACAGGCTTTTGTTAGCTTTGGTGATATCTATGGCATAGCAAAAGCACTGTGCAAGAACTGTATGATGCATATCTTATATTTATTAGTGGACTTTATTCCTAAGTTTCTGTATCACTGCTGGCTGGTTTGAAACTGGCCTGGGTGTGTATAAACAAGATGTAATGCTATTTGGAAGACAATGTAGATGTTTTTCTAGATGCCCTTGCTAAACAATTATTAGGGAGTGATAATTTATAGCAAAAGACATGTGAATAAACCTGCCTAAATTCTTAGGCAGGCTTTGCTCATGGTCAACAGGGCTTTGAATCAAACCTTTCCTCTCACTGCATAGAGAAGGGCTGAACTTCCAGTGGTCTGATGGGGAAATGCTTGTTCAGCACCATTTCCTTGTTACTCCTTAGCTGTTCTAGCTCTAGATGCTGTTCTTTTCTGGCACTCACACTGTCAGATGAACATGCCTTCAAAATGACAGCCTCCTGGGATGTTTTCAGGGCATGCTGTCTGCCTCCTACCACTGCAACAATGAATCCTACAGAGGTGTTTAAAAGATGTTCTGTAAAGAAAGTGCTTTGGAGCAAGAAGTCAGCATAATTATAGGAAGAACTAGCACTAGGCTGCTAGCTGTCAGCCAAGAGAGTAATTATCTGTGTCAGAGATGGAGTAAGGAGGGAAGAGGATGGGAGATCACCAGAGAAAGTAATCTTGGTGACAGCTTTGCCAAAAGTGTGTGTGGAGGAGGACAGTGGAGGAAAAGTAGAGTGGAAAATGCTATTGAATTGAAATAGAGGAAGAAGCATTGAAAAAGGATGAGGAAATTTTCCAGAATCTAAAGGAACAGGAATATTTCATCTTTTTCGTGATGCTAAGGGGTAGTACTAGTCAGTATGCCTGGACCCAGGGAAGGAGCTGACTGTGTACACAGCTCTGTGGTACTTGAGAAGGGCTGACTGGAGCTAAAAAGCACCTGGAACCATGTCCATAGTAAACAAGAGTCTCTCATGAGACTTTCTCTGCAGTTAAATGTTAGTCCTGTGGGACAGAGAAGCACTAGGCAATGAGATTTGTAGAAACATCTCTAATGAAAGGCAAAAAAAGACCTTTGCTATAGCAGGTTTCTGGGATGGAACTGAGTATAAAACACACAGAAAACTGAAGTGTTTGTAATGGGGCTAGGGAGCCTATACTGTTCTGAAGTGCTGTTATGGTGAAAGTCAGGTATTAAAGGCTGTGCCAGGACCTAGTGAAACTGAAGAACTTTCAAAATGTATTGTTATTTGGAAGTTCTGATTCAACAGTTGCTATCCCAGAGCAAGCCCATGTTTTGGTTTACACCTACCGAATGCAGCATGGCAAGGATATCTGAAATTAGAGAAACAAATACTCCACCATATAGTTATTGTGCAGTTGGTTACAATTTACGGTATGGAAAATTGCATTCTATATTCTCTGATTCTGACTAACTAGAAAACATGACAAGAATTGCTTTACTCTGCATGTGTTTAGCACTTGTTGACATTTTCATCTTTTACAAAATAAGGTAGGACTTTTAAGATGGGACCATTTTAACCCAGACAAAAGGGCAGGGGTACTTCCCAACCTGAAAATGTCTTGTTCCAGCTCATGAGTCCGTTGTTGGTCCTCCTGATTCTGCTTTTGCATTTCTTCTTCTTCTTTAGGAGTCATAGAACTAAAGCCATCCAAGAGCCATTTTTCTCGCAAGGCCTTTTTCTGATGGGGAAAAATAGACAAGTAAGTGAATGCTGAAAGTTGGGGTATTTAACCATTTGCTGTATTTATCTTGATGCCACAGATGTGATCCACAGCATTGTGATCTATACAGCATAAGGCAACCTGACCACAGTGGGTGCCACTGGAAGAGAAATACTGAACAACTTTTGTGTTTTGAGATGGACTTAAAAACAAAGTCTTCAGCAACAATGCCCCATTTTATTAGTTCATCCAACAGAAATGCAAAGTATGTCAGCTGCTATCCCTAACAGATTAATATGGGTAAGTGGATCCAGTGATTTGTGTGTCTTCAATAAAGCAAAGCAGCTGTACAACCATACATGTAACAGACTCATGTGAAAGGCTCCAGTCAGAAGCACAACAGTTTTATTTCAGTAGCCCTAATTTCTGGGGTCCTGGCATTGCATAGCCTCTGGAAGGAGGTATAAAAGATGAGAAGTTTCTGTAAATAAGATTATATAGGAGTAAGGGATCTATAGGGAGTTAGTGATGCAGTGCTACCCCTGGAACTTAAAAGGATCTTGTGTGCTTATGATAGTGAACTCACGTTCATGTGTGAATGAAGATGTGTAGGGTCAGAGGAGCAGTGGAAAGGTGGAGCATGGGCAGCTGGTGCTTGGTTAGTGTTTCAGCAGACCTGCTGTGTATTTAGAGCTGCTGTTGCAGGGGCAATCCAGAGCTTAGGTATTTAGGTCCTGACCTGGTAAGTGCCTGTGGAGTTCTTTCTGTGCAGTGGTGGCTTACAAGTGGGTGCATTGCATGTGCACAGATAAGTGTATCTCTCTCAGCTGTGCTTTCAAATTCTGAAAAATACAGTTATATGCACTGATTGCTTCCTACAACTGCTTTACACTACAAAAGGTGGTACCTGAAAGTCAGCAGAGCTCTCAAAAATACTCCTGGTATAAAAAAAATTATTGGAGATAAGTTCATATTTGCAGGCTAAAACTTGTAAACCACGCCAACTTTCTTGCACCCTTTTTACTCCTTTCAGTCTAACTAAGGGGCATAAATGCAGCTGCTGCCTTGGGGAAGGAGTTGGGACTCTTTAGAAATACTCTTTCAACAGACAAAAAAGGAGCACATATATAGGTCTTTAATTAACCATGAATGTCCCAGTTATTATTTAGATACCTTGAGCTGACTAATTTCCATGTTGAGTTTTTGTTTTTTCCCCCCTATGCAGTTTTGTTAATTGCAGGATGTGGCTGGAGATTACATTGAATTTTGACTACTGCTGCTTGAGGCAGAGTGTGCCCAGCACTGGTGAGAAGGCTGCATTAACCTCAGTGCTGCTTGCAGGGGTTGTTGGAATCCCTGCCTGCATCCTGTGTTGAGTCACTTAAACTGTTGCTTCCTACACTTTTCTATTTATTGTGTACTTTCCATGAGGTTATTACTGAGGCCCAGCTGGCAGAGGAATATATATGTAGGACCTTATTGCAGTTAAAAGCAATTTTCCACTTGACGTGTAATGTCATAGAAAGTGTGTCTAAAACAGGCTTGCTGAGAAGTCTGTGCACTCTGTGGTGCTTTTAATTTTTTCACTTATGGGATGTGAGAGTAAAGTTTACAGTTGCCTTAGCCTGCAGGACAATATTCTGTCTCTCAGCACTGGATACTAGGAAATCTTGGTAAACATGATTTGCTCAAAACTGATGGCCTGAGCCTTGACTCTGTCTGTAGAATCACTTGGCAGCGCTTCCTGATAGTTGTGTTTTAGGCTCTAATGAAATAAATGCATATTTTAATTGGATATTTTTACATGATCTAGTAGATGCAGGTAGCCTGGTGTTGGCACAACTTTTACTGACCAGAAAATACCGTGTTCTCAAGCTGGAGGGAGGGCACAGAGTTATGAATTGCCTTTCTATCAAGATGTTTTGATTTTAATGATAAGTGCAGCTTCTAGAAAAGTGAAGTTTTTATCTTGGCTGGAATAGTGTTAGTCTAGCACTTATGTCTCAAAAAATAAATTTATAATTCCTTGTAAGATTTAGAGTGGGGCTGGCACTGTAGACCTCAGAAACCGATACCATCTATTGAAATCAACAAAAGCTTCTGTATGTATAGGGTTAGGCCCAAGAAACAAACTCCCTAAATACAAGTGTAACACAATAGGGTTATTTTTGCATGTTTTTTGAGCAGTTTGCTGCTACCCCCAACTAAATGCCATGTAAGCTTTTTCATTTAATTAGCCATTTTTGAAAGAATGGCACATTGTTTAGTTTGGAAACAACCTTTGAATAAAAGACGGTTTCAGGTCTGGTCCCTCCAGGCAGCAACACAAGCCAGTGCAGGAGCAGCTGCTTTGGGCCTCACAGGTTTTTTTCTGCTGTTTAACATTTCCTTCCACGACAAAGTGTCTCTAGCTCAGAACCAGGTTGTGCATGTGTCATAGCACTGACATGAAAGCACTCTCATTTTGTGTTAGGCTCCATGTGTTAAGGGAAAGGGATACTCGTACACTGGGATGTGATAAAACCCTGGGAGGGGCCAGAGTACTGGAAGTAATCACTTTGTTTTGTGGTTCATGGTCACGGCAAAAGCACTACAACAATATCCTGCAGATTCTGTGAATAATTTACAGTGTGTGCTCCAGGTGTAACTCCACTACCATCCTTAACAAGGCTGGACTGAAAGATTCATCCTTCACTGGAGAGCAAAGATGTTTTGAGTTTGTGGGTCTTGCTCTCCCGGGGTATGGCAGTTTACCTTATAACATTTTGGGGACGGCATAAGTAATTTTCATATTTTTTCACAAAAAAATGTGATTCAACACTGTTAACTACTGGAAGGAGGAGGAGTGTGATGAGCAGCTACAAGGTAGTACTAATGGAGTTCAGGCATGTCAGAAGCCTGAAAATTAATAAGCTAAACTGTAAAAGCTCTTAGAAAGTACATGCAAATCAGTGCTGACTGCACTTTTCCAATAATTGTCTGATCCTTTCCCTTGTTGCTTCAGTGAGAAGGATTCCAAGTAGAAGGAAAGATTAGCTGTTGATGCATCTAGAAATACTGAATAAAATTTTCCCTGTACCTACACTAACAGCCTCCAACATCCCTTGTAGTTCTATGAAGCCCTGTCCACACAGCTGTATTTGCTTGGACACCCTCCACTTCATCTGAGAAAAGTGCACATGTAGGCAAGAAATGTTCCTTCTTCACTTCTACCAGATAACTAAGACCTGTCATGATGCCTCATCTGTATCTTCCTAGTAAGAAGTTTGCTTGGGGACAACGAACAAGATCATTGAGAAGCCAGAGCAGGGATTCCTATTTGCAAAAAGTTAAAATTTCTTTTTTATGCAACAAACAAAAAACATACCAAAGAAAAGCTCCAATCAAAAAAAAAACCCACAAACCAAACTAACAACCTTTTAATAAACCTGTTGCTAAGGGTTATAAATAGGAAGGACAAAATGAGGAACAGGATAGTGATATCCATCTAACAAACATCTCTATGGCAGTGAGATTTACCAACCTGAAATACTTTCCTAGGGCGTAGGTGTGAGTTATGTTAATGGAACATGGATATTTGGATTTCACCATTCACACAACTGGTATGTGTATAAATGAATGGAATCAGCCTGAATCGCTAGGGAAATGATCCCTCAATACAATTTACTGCAGTGTTTAAATGTTTTAGAAGTCTAAATCTGTTTTGAAGCAATTTATGCACTGGATCCTTTTGTTGTTTGACTCTGTTGAAACACCTGAATTAGGCTGAAGCAAGAATGTTCATTAAGGGACAAAGCTCCTGGGGCATAAAGCAAAAGATGTTCATGTACTAATGTTGTGTTTGATATTAGGTGCCTGTCTTATTCCTGAGCTGGAAAAAGTAGTCTACATTTTGTGTTCTCCAAATAACTAATGATATGTATGTATTTGTACAGCATATGTGTGTGTGTAAGTATATACTTACAGTATATATTTAAATGTGTGCTTGATTCTTCCTTTCTAAGTGAATAATTTCCTCAACAGATCCTTGTTTTGCCTCTTTTATGCAACAGGACTGATTTAATTTAAAAGCTTTTCTGTGTGATATCTGTATGATTTCTCAATCAATACAATACAATAGGCCGAGAAGTAACATCCTCTGTTCTCTTCCAAAATAAAACCATTTCAGAAGTATTTTTCCAGGAGCATTTTAGCCTCTCTAAAAACTCCATAAATTTCTTCAGAATAAGTGCAAGGTTGGTTTTTCCATTCTTAACTTTTAAAGGTCTGCTGATTAATTTTAGCTATGAAATGTACTGTAAGGAAACTGCCCTAGGGCTCTGTCTGCACACAGCAGTAGTGAGGATTAGCTGGTTGTCTACAACAGATCAGTTTATCCCTCTATAAAGGAGGGCAAAAGAGTCATCTGGATTTATAGACATGGAAACTTGAAATATAACTTTCAGTACTCAATGTAGCTATGATGGAGGAGTCACATGTTTGCTACTCAGAGGTTACAGAGCTTGGAAAAGATATTCCCCTCCCTTTTAGACAAGATGTTACACAAATGGTCAAGCCTGTCCTTGGAGTAACTACCTTCCAATAAAACCTGGGCATGGCTGTGTGTTGGCTTGCCTGGCCCAGTGAGCTATTTTATCGTGGCTTTTCATTTTTTTGGCTCAACACAAAAGAGTGGATGAGACTCAGGATCTGGTGTCTATTTTGAAGAGGAGTCTGTTTTAAATATGCTTTTCTCACATTTGCTGGAGGAGACATGCCACGCTCCTGGTGTTAGATTCAATAGATCTTCTTGAGACTGTTTATCTGCTCACATAATGAAAAGAGTATGTAAAATACCAAGTCTTGCATATTTCTAGAAGCATAGATTTTGTTCTCATTTCCCTAAATGACATATACAGCCAAACTGCTGTAAACATTTTAAGAATAGTGATGTTGGGTAGAAATCATTGCAATTTCAGTTCTCTACAGAGCTGAATCTTTAGGTCTCTTATACCTTTGGACTTTGTAATCTGAGTTTACCAGGCCATATTTGAGAACAATATTTGTAACATTTATACTTTTTTAAAAAATATACTAGGAAACAGCATTATTTTACTAAAGAATAATTAAACAAGCTGACAAAAGACTACAGCCAAATAAATAGGTTGGGTTTTTTTCTAGGAAAAAATGCAATTAGACCTCATGATTGTGCTGTACCCTGTACCAAGTGAGGTTGCTGTTGTGGGATTAGGGAGTGAACACACCCAGTCTGAAATATGAGGCTTAATTTTCATCTGTGAGTTTTTTCCTGGTTATGATCTCATTTTATGCCATGAAAGTGATCAAGTAACATTAGCTCCCCCGTGTAATTTTTTTCAAAGAGTGATGCTTATTAAAGTCAAATGGAGTCCTGGCAAGACTCCACAAAGCTGTGGAAATTTGACAGTAAAAGCTCGACTTAAATGCTTGAAGATTTGCATTCTGAAATCCCCAACCTTTATTCATGCTGTATGGCTTGAGGCTATCTTTAGTTACATAAATCTAACACTTTACTTACCTTTAAATGTTGGTGTTTCATTTTTTCCTCTTCTACTTTTAGACGTTTCTGTGTAATTTCTTCTTGCAGTTTTCTTTTGTCCTACAAATTAAGAACAATATAACTTTGTTTAGAGAAATTACTGGTTAAAAAAACTATTATGTAAGTGTTGTTTAGTAGGGTGAAATCAATCCATGCAAATAAAGCCTTATTTTCAAGCTTATGTGGTTCTTAGGTAGTGCATAATTCTTTACAGCAATAACTTGATCCTACACAGGAATGGTTTCCACTGCTCTTTCTCCAAAGTACATTAAAATGTGTTAATGACCACAAAGGAGTGATGATGCAAAATAAAAATTATTTAGCCTTGGGAAGGGTAGGGGGCAAAACCAGGAAGAAAGTACAGTTGTGCAGAATTGTACATGCAGAGTGAAACTAAAAATGGGTCCTGACCAAAATTCCTAAGGCAACCCACGCATCATTTAGGAGAGGGAAGAGTCTGCATGGCCTACACTGAGCAGCTGTGATACATCACTAGATGAAATGGGCTGTCACTGAATCCAGTACTGAGTTTATGTATCCTGTGGCTAATAGCTGAAATAAACAGGAATAAACAAAGACTTAGAAATTTATTTTGTTAGTTAATGGTAAAGATGAGAACAGAGAACTGTAATGTAGTTCATATATGTTGTTGCTACCTCTCAATTAAGAAAAATTTTTTTTGCTTGTGCACAGGCTGTTTTCGTGGCTGCTGATTTTAGAAGGAAAAACCTTGTGTAATGCTGGTCTATCCTAGTGTCACCTTAATCCTTTTTATTACAGATTAGAGAAAAAAAGAAATGGGTGAACAATATCTGAATGCTGACAGTGCCTGAGCCTGTCCTGTTTTTGGATAGCACTGTCACATGGAGTAACCTTGTGGCTTCTCTGTGAGGCCAAACACTGATTTAGTACCTTGTGTCCTCGGCAGCTGGGGGAAAGAAATCATGCCAAAGGAAAGTAACTTTAATAAGGTGTATTAATAGGCTATTGTCTTGGTCAGCCTTGATGCTATAAAATTCTTTTATTGGGCATGATTCCTTGCCATGTGCCAATCAAGAAACATTTGTATTTGTTTCTTGATACATTTTAGGGCAGCAAATGGAATCTTCTGTTGTCCTGTGCAGAAATGTTTGTTGACTGTAGGCTAATCCCTCTTTCCTTTCAATTAGCACAGCTTGGCTCTGTTAAAAAGGTGGTAGCTTTTTTATAGTCTGTTTTCGGACAAGTACGGTTTAGGAAGGAGTTAACTTCTTCACAAACAGAGGAAGGGCCCTGCCCTTTCAGCCCACCTGAGGAACCAGCTGTGTGTAAGGGCTGGAGAAAGTCAGTAAGGAAGGGCTGGACACAAGGCTGGGAGTCGTTCTCCACCATTTCCCTAGGATCTGGCATTTGGAAACAGGAAGAGATGTGGTGTGCTTGGCTGAATCACTTCACTGTTACTGGAAATTAGGAATTAGCAGCGGGGCCACAGGCTCTAAGGACACTTTTCTGAAGGATAGGATAGAAAATGGAAGAAACCACCAAGCTTTATGGGGATGGAAGGCAGCATACAGGCACTACTGATACTGTGCTGGGATTTAGGAGATGAACATCAGAGTGTCACTGACCTCTCACAGTCTGCAAAGTATAGTAGTTATTTAGAAACCCTTTCCAATTTTTCCTTGATGGTGTTAGTCTGCCTTTATAAATACTCCAAACAGAACAGGTGGGGCTCTTTCCCCAAAATACATACTATTTTTATCTCTGCAGGGATTTTGTGTTTTGCCAATGCTCTTTATAAAATTAACAAAGTTACTGATTTAGGATTGCTACAATATGTAATTTTTCTGTAACGACCCTTGTGTGAGACTGTATCCAAAAGCTGCTATGCTGGATTTTTCTTAGCCAGTCCTGATGTTGAACACAGAGTATCTGGTCTCTGATCTTCACACTTTTCCATACTTAGGAAATATTCCTGATCTCATGGTATAAATGGCCTTTAAATAACCCATCATTAGATGAGCAACTTGTTAAGAGTTTGTGTTCACAGATTATTACATTTCTTAAGGTAAACTCTTTTTGTCTTTACAAAAGTTCTGGATAAGATTCTTAGCCAGAGAACAAACTTTTATTTGGTTTACGCTATTAAAAAATAGTCTAAATCAATTTGAACATTCTTTTCGTACCAGTGGAGACATAATAGAGGTTTGGGCAATCTGAAATGAGTATTTGTACATAAACTACTGTGCAGAAAGAAATCTGAGTATAAAGGCATAAAATAGTGCATTTTAAACTAACTGCATAATAAGGAACCGACTCAGTAAAGAAANAACTGCATAATAAGAAACACACTTAGAAAATGCATTAAAAGCTTTTTCTTTTTTTTTTTTTTTTTTTTTTAGAGGTCCATGTTTCTTTTATGTCTAATGTTTTTTCTCTGGAAGTTTTCTTCTTGTATCCTTTGGTGTTCTAGCATGTTTTAATTTCACTGGTTGGTATTAAATATCCATTATACAGTTATCCAGATAAAATTGGCTGAAATAGATTGTCTTTTATACCTCTAGTCTATATACCTATACAGTTTAGTCTTATTCCAGAAGCTGAGAAGTATGGGGAATCTTTTTGAACCTTGTGGGCCAAAATAACTTTAAAAACCTGTTAGAACACTTTCTGCAGTTCATTCTGCTATGCTTTGTCTGCACATCATGTCTTGCTTTATGAAGCTTTGACTGCATGTCTGATAGAATAAATGTTTATTCCTGGATAGCTAAGGGAGCCATGATTCTATTAAACCTCATGCTCTGCCCCTGCAGATACTCATGTTGCTGGCAGATGTCCTTAAATCCTCTCTTGTTGTGCTCTTGTTAATGTGAGCAGGATTTGCTTTTTATGACAGAGCATCTTCACCCATTCCTTTCTGTTGTGCATCAATGTGAGGTAAGACTTGGTGTTAATTTTCACTCCTATTGAAACATGTGGGACTCTTTCCTGACTTTGGGCACAGAAATGAATTGTGTTCTAAACTGGATTTGTCTGAAAGGAAGGGAATCTCATCCACAGAGCAGTGTCTGTGAGATATCTTGTCTGCAAGTCCCATCGTTTGTGTCAATGTTCTACAGTGGTGCCAAAGACAGTAGTCTTGGTTCCCTGGCAAATGCCACATTCTGTCAAATTCCACGGAGCAGCAAATGTTTTAGCTAATGTATTTTTATTTTCATGTAGTTTTCTAGTTATTAAAACCCATTATGCATCAAAAATATTAAAGCTTTCGTATTTTACAGTATGAAAGCCGTGCTAACAAAATAAAGGCATTTGATTTTTTACTTTTTGTATTCTATATATACAAGCAGCAGGTGGTAGCTACATGACAAAGGAAAGAGTTTCCTTTTCAGAGCCGTGGGAGCATCAAAATATTTAATAACAACAACATCATGAAGAAAACCAGTAATCATGTTTTCTTTTTTGTTCGCTATATGGAGAAAAGATTTGCAAAAGACTTTGAAACTCCTACTGGCTCTGTTGCTGTCAAGGAGACAGGTTTTTAACAACAGAAACCAATAAGGCTTAGTGCAGGTGCAGCTGTTGACTGCTCTGAGTGCTCCTTGCTATCCTGTTAGATCCTTTACAGCAAACATCTGGAATGTAGCACTTGGAATTCCCAGGTATGTTACTTGAGCCAAACCTCCCCAGAGCCATGGGAGAGCTCGCTATTGTAACTGCAGTGTGTTGTTTCCCTGGACAACTCTTCCTGCAGGCTGTCAAGGCTGCTAACTTCACCTTATTTAGGCTACTTGGTTTCTGCAGTCAGAACACCCCAGGTGTTTCAAGTGAATGCTCCACTGATGAAAGTGGAGGGCAAATAGCTTCTTTACACATCAAGTGTATTATTTACAGAATAAATGAAGTTGTAGGCAGAACCCAAATATAATTTCTCTCCTGCTCCAGTTTCTTAAGAAAAACCTGCTCCAGTATTCATTTGGAAGCAAAGCTGCATCTGGAGGATGCTAACCTCTGTATATTCATAAATGCCCCCATCAGCCAAGAGTGCTGCCCCACTCCTGCCCCTGGATCCCAGGGAGCATAAAACTTTGTGAGGCCTGGAGTGCTCTGAGTGCAGAAGCAGCTGTTATCTTTGGAGTCCATACACCGCAGACAAAGTCCAGGTTATGACCCTGGTTCAGGCAACATTGCAGTTAAACAAGCAAATGTGCTCTAAACTCTCTGAAACATTTCAAATTACCTTACTGTGGGCTTGTGTCAGGTCTCAAGTAAATACAATAAATGGTCCTGTCGGCTTTTATCAAGCACCATAATTAAAACTCAACTGAAGTAAAATCCAGCCTATTAGATTCCCACAGATTTCCAGTTATGCCTTCTTACATTTATTTTGATTCCAAGAAGGTATTTTTTAATTCTGCCCATCATTTATTCTAGTAGTGTTTCACAACTAATCTATCATGTTAGGAAGGTGACAAAGACCTTTGTTTCCATTATTTGTTATTAACTAAAAGAGTGAGTGATACTTCTAGAGGTTTCCTTTCATCTCATAGGGCCAAATTTTGTTACAGTTTAAGTTTTTTGTAACTGAATAAGTTCAAATCAGAGAAGGATTTGGCTTCAACCAAGTTTTATAACATCAGGTTGTATTACTTTAAAAATAGTTTAGTTGTTCCCTTTACACACTAGAAACCACCACTCAGATTTCCTTTTAGAAAAGAAACTGAAAATGTTTTCTAATGTCTCCAGCACAAACTTCACTGAGTCCTTTCTCTGAAAACTGACAGGTAGGAATTTGTTTAATCCGAGCTTGTCCTTTTTTACTTTTCAGACAGCAATATTTATGACAGGTCATTAATAATTCAGAATTGTATTTAATTCCACAGTGCAAATGAAAAATCTTTAACCTCACATTGTGAAATGTGAAAATTGATTTGTTCTGGAATTCTCTAGCTGCCTTTTGACCTTCAGGCAAACATTCAGTATGATGACAGTAATGTGTGTTTTAGACCGTCCAGCAGTGATTTGCACACATACTTTCACTGCTTTGAATTTAATTTTAAAATGCAGTACAACCAATACAACCCATAATAAAGTCAGTACAGTCAACTTAACTGTCTTAAAGCAATATCTTATAAACTAGAATTATTAAGCAACAATTTCAAGCAGACATAAAGTCTTTTCTTTTTCTGTCCTGGGATAAATCATTACTCAGCAAACACACAGCAGCTCATTACTCATATTACTTCTAAGCTTTTTTTTTTTTTTTTTAAATAGTGAATTATAACCGTGAGCACTTACTGTTATGGCCTGGAATCTTTCTTTCAGCAATTCAGCTTCCTCCATTCTACAAATCAAAAACAGACAGGTAGTGAAGGCAAACAGAATGAGACCATAAGCAAAAAACCTCCTGGTGGGGCTACAAAAAAAACGCTGAGAAGATTTGATCCAATTCCAGAGCAGAAAGAGGCAGAATTTTTGACTTGTCAGAAGAGTCCCTGAACAGATGAGCAGATCAGTCCAGACAGACACATGTAATGAGGGTGTGGAGAAGAGGCAGACAGGGAGAGTGCTGGCATGAGTTGACTGACAAGTTGGAACAGTGGAGCACAGGCTCTTTTCCTTCAGGAGCTGCCAACTCTTTGTTTTAATGTGCTCGGTTAGCGTGCCACTGCTTCTTTAACTGTTAAATGCCCAAAACAGACTCTTACACGACCATGGTTGAAACAAACTTTTTTAATGTTCCTATTTCTCTTTCCGCTCTTGTTCTATGCTTCTGTTGACAAACAGATATTTAAAACTTATTAAATTTATTTAAACTAATAAAATTTATTTTTAAAAATTATTTATCTTATTTCACCAGTACGTTTTAACCTGTTGTAATATTAGCATTGTAGGTGGCATGGAGTTTTTCTGAGATGACTGTTTCAATTTAGTTTTGTAGATGGAATTTTTAGAAAAGCTGTATTCATAGCTGGAAGAGTTTTAGAACTGCTAACCTGAAGTAAGATAAACTTTAAGCAGTCAGGTCTTTGATTAAATGCAAGTGTTAATCTGTGCAATTACTGGTCAGCTATCTGGGACTCAGGGGAAGCTTTGGCTAAGTAAGGATTTCAGGATCATCACTGCAGTGTTACCAAGATGAATCTAAAATGCTGGTGGCTCTCAGGCTGGATTTTTATTCAGCTGACTTGTTGTAGACTTCTGCTGAAAACAGCATTCTGTGCCTTAAGGGATAGTGCACATTTTGACCTTTCCATTTACCTGAGTGAGAGTCAGCCGTCCAAAATCAATCCAGGAAACTTGCAGAACAAGTGGAACTGCTTTAGTAAAATCCAGTTGTGGAAAAAGTTCTAAGCAAATCAAACAGCATAATGGTATAATATGAACCTGGAATCCCTTTGTTACATTCAGTATCATGTAAGTTAAGTCTCTGTAAGGACACCAGCAGAAGTGTCAGTCAGCATGTTTGGGTTTTTCCTGCTAATTCACTCCACTCAGCAGGATTTGGTGACGGGGTTTACTTTACGTGTTGGTACAGTGACCTGAAGCTTAGTGGCAAATCAAGCTCATTATTAGCAAATTCTAAGATGCTACAGAATTGAACACTTAATGGTGAAATTACAGGCTTATAATTCAATAGAAACCAATATTTAATTTCAATTTCCTCCTTTCTAGTATGCCATCACTCCTCCATATACATGAGCAGATTTTCGCCCTCTGCACTGGGGATTAAGGATTGATTAATGTTTTCTGTGTACTCTGATCCACTCTGAGATTTTGCTCAAACTTGCAAAGACCTCATTTTTATTCTCCAGTAAAGAGTTAATTTCTATTTTTATAAATATTAATATATGCCTTTTTGCTCAGCAGCTGAAATTTTCAAAATTACAATATTAAAGCAAATGCAAAGTTCAAAGGCAAGTATATACACGGGAGTTTAATTATGGATAAGAGAATAAATTCAACCACCCCATGAAAAGAAATACATTGTTGCTGCAGAAGCCAATAGAGAGAGACTTTCTCTTTAAGCTTTCATACATTAATATAGTCTGCCTTATCAAACATTGAAAAAAACCAAAATCAACTTATTTTACCTTTGTCCTCTGTGAAGTTCATGTTAAAATTTAAGTGTGTATGTGGACTTCAGGATGTTTAAAAAATATTTAAAGCAGCAAAGGTTTACATCAGAATTAAGGATGTCTGATTTGGGCCCTAATCTGTACTCTGAAATAAATGGGATCTACACTCAATGGGTGGAGGAATTAGATCTGTATTTCAAGATCAAATTAAAATCAGTGGGTTTGCATTGCTTAGAATTTTTATGATCGAAAATATTATTTTAAATTTATGCTTAAAAATTATTTAAGTGTTTTAAAAAACCCTACTTGTGGATTTTATGTAGTTACAGACTGGAAAAGTATTTAACATATCTTTCCCTAATCTAAGTCAGTAAATTGAGGTAATGTGAAGAAGGTTTCTAGAATGTTGCTTCTGTTTTTAGGTGGCCATTATTAAGAAAGTGTTTGAAACCCACTTAAAATATTTTAAATTGTTTGAATCGTATATATCCCCTTGCTGGGCAGGATTTTTTGTTCAGTCAATAGGTTGTTTTTCAGTTATCTTAATCCTATTTTAACTGGGATTTATGTGCAAGAGAAGAAATGGACCAGCTGTCATTTTGTCTGCCTGGTAAGCCTGCCTTACCAGTAGGAGTATCCATGGAGGAAAGGTTAGAGCAGTGAATCTGAACAGTGTTTTCAGTCTGCAGCATTCTTGGAACAAAGTTTCTCAGAACTTGTCTGCCAGGACCATATCCAGAGGAAACTATCTACCTATTCTGCAGCTTTAAGGAAAGGTTTATTTTTCTTTTGGTAGAATAGATTCTCTGAGTGATGCAGAGAATGTTTTTGTATCTTATAATGAGTCATACAGGTTGGATTTTTTGGCTTCATTTATTTCTTTGTTTGTTTCCCTTTTGCACTGTGAACCTAATTTAGGAATAATAATGAAAATCTACAGCACAAGGTGAGAGAGTTCCATTATGAAGCCTTACAGAAAAGGAGGTGGTAATTTAGAAGAATGCAATACCATGAACCAAAATCTAGATGGATCATAGAAGCACTTCCACAGCTGAAAATGCAAATTTTGTTGTTCATTTCTGGAGTAATGTCTGAGTCCTGGAATGGTCTTTGGAACTGTAGTGGCTTTCCCTGGCCATGCTCTACATACAGTATCAGCCTCAGTTCTACTCTTGCTCATTGTACTGGGTTTTCTTTTGAAACAATTAGCCTAAGGTACAGTGAGATAGAGATTATTGTAGTAGCAAACAATTGTCTCTGAGAAGAAACATTGCATTAAAGGTAAGGAGAAAGAAGCTCTCACTTTTTCAAAAAGTGAGTTTGAAGTTAATGGAGTTGATTAGATTGTTATCAGCTGAAAACATAGTTTATACTTTCTGAAAGAGTGGTTACTGAGCTCATGAATTCACATTTTGTTCATCATAACTAGTTTGATATTTTTTCTTTGTGATGAGCTGCCTTTGGTAAATGTGTTTGAAACACAAAAAGGGTGTTTTGGACCCAGTACAAAAAGAAATTCTATATTCATTCCTACAGTACTGCCCCTATGCATTTGTCTACGTGTAGCCTTGACTCTGACAGCAGGAATAGGGAGGAGATAAATTTTGTTGAAGGTGTCTCAATACAAATGTTTACTGCAGCCATCCTGTCAACTGGCTGAAAAGTCTGTTATTGGGGGTGCCTCAACTGATTGAGAGACAGCCTCTTCTCCAGCTAGAACCACGGGTTTGCATTTTACAGGTGGAAAATACACCAATAAGAAACAGAAATTTGAAAATCTAAATAAAGCTCATGTCCATCCATCAAATTATACATTTGAAATTATTAAAAAATGTATACATTTTAAGAATCTTATATGAAGTTTATAACAAAACATCTGCCAGCTCTCAGGAGGGATTCGATTTTGTTTTGAAGGCAAATTTTGGAGCAGTAATGCCCTACTAGGCAGGTCTTTTAACATAATTAATTTCTTGGATCCTCTCACTAAAGGAAAACAATATCTGAATATGTCAGATTTATACAGTTTTATGAAGCTAAATTCTACCCTTATTTGCTTGTTTGAGTAGACACACACCCTGAATCTCTGAGAGGAAAAGCCTTGGACTATTATGTTTCAGTTGCTACAACTCCCTTCCTGTTGCTATTCATAACTATAAATATATTAATTCTTTAAACTCAAACTAAAGAAACAGCTATTTGTCATTATTTTCAGGTTTTTTTTAAAACATTGATTTTTAAATAATATTTTATGCTGCTCAGATGCTCAGACATGTTTCAATGCTATGGAGAGGTTTTAGAATTCTGCATGGGCTTAGGACTTTCTTCTGTGGTATGGGTCTATCTTATATGCACAGTTAAACCCAGCTCAAAGTGCTATTGTGCTAAATATGGACCATCCTGCCCCTATTTTCTAAAAATTACACAGTGAACTTTGTTGAAGTATACTGATTATTTCTTAGTCAGGTAATCATGTTTTGTGTATCCTTTTTCATGTTTCCGGACTTGTCAGTTCTTGGTCTTGTGTATTATATGAACCTCTGAATTTGGGAGGCTTTCCAAAGCACCTTGAACACTGTTGTGTCTCATCTAAAAATCCCACTTCAGGGAATAATTTAACCATAATTACTGTGGTGATATCAAATGTGAGACTTTTAATAGAAGTATTCAGGTGTCCAGATAAGTGATAGGACTATGTTTGTTTTGTGGTGTTTGGGTTTTTTTTCAGAGTTTTTAAAATTTATTTTGTTTTTAAAACGTAAACTGAAACAAGTAAACCCACAAAGAATCTGAAATACTCAGGCTGGGTGCCTTAAACATGTTGTGGAACGCATCGCTTGCAACCTAGCATTTTCCAACTGCTGCAGATATGCACTTCTAAGAATAGGGCAGAGTTTTAAATCCTACCCAGCCAACTGTGTGGGAAATTTTTAGCAAGGCTCTGAGAACCAGCTTTAGTTATTGCATAGTTTGGTTATGTTTAATTAAGTGAAAACAAACACCCATAACCAGAGCCAAATCCTGGGGAAAGTAGCAAAACTCGAACAGGTACCATGCTGTCCTTAGAAAAGAAACTACCTTTCATATTCTTCTGATTCTTATTTTAGGATGCTCTAGGAGAACATGATGGGAACAGTTGTGGTGTTTGTATCTAAGAGACTTCAGTAAGATGGCAGAGCAAAATTAGGCCCTTGCAGACATATTTTTGTGAGCATTTAGTGCCAGGTGTACCAGTGCCACAGTACCAAGTGCTGCTGGTGAAAGCCTT